TGAGTTGTGGGGGTCCTTGCTAGCCATTGCTCAGGGACTCCTAGTATTCCTCCTGGCAGTGCTGGCGGGGGCTGGGAGGCACATGGTGAACCCAGGACCTTATATGAGCATGTGCATGTGAACATATGCTTTACCTTTTAAGCCACATCCCTTGCCCCGGAAAGAATCTTTCGAGCTATAGCTAAGTGTGGGATTGAGAAGTTTTTTTTTTTAAGGATATTAAAATTAAAAACAATTTGTCCAAATTGTCCTAATTTTGAAATAAAATGGAAAAATACAGGGCCAGAGACATAGTTTAGAAGGTAAGGCATTTGTCTTGTATACTGTGGGCCCTGGTTCAGTCTCTTGCACTCCATGTAGTCTCCTGAGTACTACCAGCAGTAATCCCTGAGCACAGTGCTAGGAATAAGCCCTGAGCGTAGTTGGATGTACTCCTCCCAAACTTTTAAATGTACAAAAAGCTTAGCTAATTGTTCCAATTCTTCATGTCCCATAGATGGTCCTACCTTTTGTGAAAGTTGTCTCCTTTTTTGAATCTGAAACATTAACGGTGCAAGTTGGTCATGGAACTAACAAAACATTTGGGCTGGTTATTTTCATAAAATGAATGGCAAAACAATTACTTGGGGCCTGCTAGATCATTCAAAGAGCCAAGATGAATGTTTAGCATGTGGTTGTCCCAGGTGCAATCCCAGGCTCTGCATGGTTCCCTTTCACCCCCACCAGCACTGCCAGGATCCCCAAGAACCCAGCCAGGAGTAGTCTCAGCACTGGGTGTGAAAAAAACAAACAACCCCCAAAACACTTACTGGAATAATTAAAAGGGCTATTTTCTCCCTAAATATCAGAAATGTCTGCCATTTTCTCCCCCAATAAAGAAACTGATCCTCCAGCAGGGTGCCCCAGTCCATGACACTTTGTGCTTTGAGTCTTGTGGATGGCGTAGCCTTGTGTGCTGTGGAATGCTGGGCAGACTGGCCTCTGGCCGGTAGATGCCACTGGCCCTGCCCTTTCAAGATGCGGCAACCAAACTGTCTTCAAACATTGTCAAATGTCTTGAGAGGGCGCTGACATCCCTGGTTAAAAGCCCCGATCAAATTACCTACAAATAGTTTTCCTGGCTGGGGATGTACTTAGAGGTAAGGAGCAGCCTTGCATGCGGGAGACCAGCACTGAAAAAAATAAAAACATGAAAGTAAAATTGAGTGTTGAAGTTGCTTTGCACCTGACCTTGATTAGGTCAAAGCTGCAAAGGCAGCTTGTCTATTTTATTTTATTTTTTCACTCTTCTGTTTTTTGGGCTAGACCTGGCTCTTCTCAGCACTGACTCCTGGCTCTGTGCTCAGGGATCACTTCCTGACAGAGCTCATGACACCATATTTTTAGTGCTGGGGATGGAACCTGGGTTGGCGGTAGGCAAGGCAAGCACTCTCCCTGCTGTACTATCTCTCTAGCCCCAGCTTGTTTAATTTAATGCTCCACTGACTGTTCAGGCTCATTATTAGATCTCATGGGGCCGTTCCCAATAGGGACTTTTTATTTAATTCCTATAGTTCTGGCAGGTTTGTTCATCTGCAATTTGATCATCTTGTAGGCTGTAGCTATTTAGCGATCTGTCCCATTTTTATCCCCTTTGGACTCTGAATTATTTCTTACTCCTGTGGTTGTCTAGCATTCCTGTATCATCTCTTCTAATGTAGGGCCCAAGCTGAGCCCACAGGCAACTCAGAGAGAATGGAGTCCCTGCACAAGTGATCACCATGCAGGCTCATAGCAAAACTGTTGGCTATGAAATGATTGTTCCAGGGTATCCTGTCCCCACAGACGGTTCCTCGTCTTTGTGCCGGGACCACCAAGGAGCAGCAGTGTGGCTGGGGCCAGGTTTCCCTGGCTGTTTGAAGTGAGGAGTGGCAAAATAGTCAAGTACAAACTATCCGAGCCCAGTTGTTAGGTCTTAGAATGTACCACAGAACACTCAGCAAACACATGCCTGAGAAAAGAAAAGGCATCCTCCAGGGCTGAGTTACAGGCACTTCTGGGAGTTGTAAACCAGGCAGGCTCCAGAAATATGTGTCTTCCAAGGCCTGGAAATTTCTGAATGAATTACAGATAATCAGTGAGTGTGACAAAAGAGTTAAAGTACACAGACTTTACCTTCACAGTTTATGATGCAGTAAAGAAGTTTAAGATGTAGCCCTAAGATTGCACAGTGGTGGCCAGCAAGCTAAATTGGGACTATGGGTTTGTTTTGTTTGGCTTGAACAGGCAAAAGGAGAAGGTGTGTGTGTGGGGGGGGGGGGGGGGGGAGAGAGAGACAGAAAGAGAGAGAGAGAGAGAGAGAGAGAGAGACAGAGACAGAGAGAGACAGAGACAGAGAGAGGCAGAGAGAGACAGAGAGAGAGGGGGCTTTCACATTAAAATTTACATTGCTCCCCCCTTAAATCAAATCTGTCTTCCACTATGGCTTCTGCCTCCACCCCACCCCCCATACACTCATATACATACTTTGTTGGCTTTTTTAGGGCACACCCTGTAAAGGTCAGAGGAATTACTTCTGGTGGTCCTCAGGGGACCATATGGGATGCCTGGGATCCACTCTACTATCACCACTTGGAGTTGCCCCTTTATGACCAGGGCTGACCAGGGTAAGCATTTTCTAGTTCCCCAGCCTAGATCCTCCTTCCTCATGTGCCTGTTGGCATTTAAGATGGTCACCCCAGTGCAGACTTCTCTGCCAGTTCCTTAGTGTCTTTGTGCAGAAACAACCAAGGGAGCCTAGAGCCCATTAGCAGAAGCCATGGCTATGTCATGACCCAGGCTTCAGTCACAGAAATGGAAGCAAAGTGATGCTGAGATTTGGTTGGATTTGGGATCCCTCTGATACTGTAGTGTTAAGTCAACTTTGCAGGATTTTCTGATGAGCTGAACTCTGAAAAGAGCAAGAGATTAAAAAATGACTCCCATTACAATTTTTTTACTTTCTGAAAATGGAAGCCAGTGCCAGCATATTGGAAATACAAATAATTTTAAAAAATCAATTTAAAACGGAGCGACAGGGCATTTGCCTTGTAGGCAGCCGACCTGGCCAACCCAGGTCCGATTCCTCCGTCCTTCTAGGAGAGCCCAGCAAGCTACCGAGAATATCTCACCCTCACTGCAAAGACTGGCAAGCTACCTCTGACGTATTCCATATGCCAAACACAGTAACAAGTCTCACAATGGAGGTGTTACTGGGCCCTCTAGAGCAAATCGATGAGGGAAGACAGTGCAGTGCTAAAACACTGAATTAAAACAATACATTAAAATATATCTGAAAAGTTGGCAGTGTGAATTGAATGAACTTTTTAATAGTTCACGATTCTTCACTTGAACTTTCCACCTTGGGTGATGCAGTCACTTCAGGATAGTTGGAGGGGAAAAAGTTTTGAGAATCTCAGTTATTAAGGAGATTGCCCCCCTCCTCCCCATGAGCCTGTGACCCTGCCTTGCTCCATCTGCAGTGTCCCGGGGGCTGAGTTCCCACCCCCCCAAGAGAGGAGCCCTGTTGGTTTGACCCAGGTTACTCTCCGATGCAGAGGCAGCCCGAGTTAGGGGAATCCGAGGTCCAGTTCTGTGTGCATGTCTAAGACCTGCAAGGAATCCCCTGCAGAACCGCCCAGATTTCACCAGGTTTCGGATGGGGGGTGGGGGGGGGGGGGTGGCCTGCTGCTTGTAAATGCTGGTTCGAAGCTTCCCCCCTCCCCCCACCGCAGAGCGAGAACCCTGCGCTCAGTTTTATAAGGAGCAATGATCACAAGGAGCCCGGTTATTCCTGAAGGTGTCTTTCTCGGCACTTTTTATTGATGGCTGGGAAAAATCTCCAACTGCCCACGTCCAGAACAAACGGTTACATTTCTCTCTACCGCATTTCTGATGCGGGCTGGGGGAGAAAAAGCTCCGAGGGGGTTGCGGGGACCCAGCGAGCGCACGCTCCGGGTCTGGCCCGGGGCGGCTCAGAGGGTGGTGGCCCTGCCCCGCGCTGGCCGCGGCTGCCGGCGGGCGCCGCTGCGCATGCGCTGGCCGGCCGGGCGTCCTCCCCGGCTCCTTCCCTCCCTCATCCGGGTCCTGGGCGAGCGGGCGCCGTGCGCGTGTCCCGCCGCCGCGCTGCTAATAAAGTTGCGCCGAAGGGAAGCGCAGCGACGGCGCCGGGAGAGCGCGCCCGGCCGGCCCTGGCGTGAGTGTGGGGCCCCGCGGGGCGGACGGGCGGGCGCCGCTCGCCCAGGGGCCCGCAGGCCGGACTTAGGCCGCGGGCGGAGCGGAAACCCAGCCGGGCCTGGCGGGGCGGGCGCTAGGCCGAATCCGGGCCTGCCGGGGTCCCGGGCGGGGGCGGCGCGCCGGAGCTGGGCGTGGGGGGGGGGGTGGGGTCCCCGAGGTGCGGTGCCGCCGTGCGCACCCGGGCCCGGAGAGCTCCCGGAGGGGCGCCCCGGCCCCCCGCTTCCAGGCTGGAGGAGCCGCTGGGGCTCCCGCGCGCGAGCACCACCCTCCGCACACACCCTGCGAGGAGCGCCGGGCTGCCTTGCTCCGCGCCGCCGCCCGGCCGCGCTGTGGCCGGGTGAATCCCGGCCGCCCAGCGCTGGCGTTTCCAGAAAGATAAGGATGCTTATCGGTGGGAATTACACTCCCGGCCGTCGGGACCTGCTCCGGCGCTCAGCCGGGAGGTGGTTAGCTGCGCCACTTGTCACGCCAGTTCCCCCCCCCCCTCCCCCCCGAGGATTCCTTCCCCCTGGAAGATTTCTGCAGGCGGGGTCCGCCCGCCCCATCTTCCTGCCCCGGCGCGGTCCCTGCCCTCAGTCTCAACTCCAAAGCTTCAGATTCCGGCCTCTCGTTCATGCAACCTCCCACCCACCCCCGTCCACCCCCTCCCGCTCCCCCGCTCTTCCCCTTTCTTCAGCTGCTGTTATTACGTGGAGTTTGGAGCCGAAGCTTTGAAAACTCCCATGTGGCGCCAGTCTTAAGTCGGAGCATGCTCAGTCGCCCAAACAGATTTGGGTTTGCAAAAAAAAAAAAAAAAAAACTGGGGCGAGGAGAGTCGGCAGTTTGGGACGTTTGCCCACGCCCTAACTAAATGTTCCAATTCTGGGTTTTTGATGGTATTGGAGACGGGAGCCTTAAGGCCTGCCTGGAGGTGAGGAATGCCCGAACACCCTCGGCCAGATCTCTATCTTGATTATGGAGACATTGTTTCCTGACCAGCTGGAGGTCTCGGGGAGGTGGGGGCTGCCGTAGGTGGGGGGCTGGGGGTTAGCGCATTCCTGGCCGCTTGTGCCTTTGGATGGGTGTGGTGCTAAGTATATCTTGTTTACCTTATCTTTCGGTGGAAAAAGTTTTGAAGTCTGCTTGGGTTTGTCACATCTAGCCCGTTGCCTAGCACTACCCAAAGTGTTCTTATCTCGCCACAGACTGGGTAGGTGAAGGTTCGGGCTTGGAGAGCAAAAGGTGCTTCTTGAGTTGCTGTTTGATTATGTTTTTAAACTTCTTAACACCCGAGTACTCGAATTTTCTTTTCAGTACCTGAATTGCCCAGAATGAACCCGTTTTGAATTTTAATTTGAAAGCTTGAAAGGTTTAAAACTTTACTCCTAACACATGGAGTGACAGCTCAGTAATTGAAAATTGTTGCTGGATGCCAGTACGTAGAAACAACGCGACAATTTTATTGATCCAAGTATATAAATGAAGTCTGTCCCAAATTTAGTGAGATGACAGATCTAAACAAGGTTTTTTTGTTTGTTTGTTTTTGTTTTTATACTCTTCCTCCCCTCCCATGTGTGTGAAGATTGCTGTGGTATATTGTGCGGTATTGATGCAGGCAGAAAGCTAGGGGGGCTTGATGATGTATATTGGGGAAAATACTGCCTGGAACCTAAACCAGCCCAAAGGCTGAGACACTGTATTGCATCTGAGGAGCCCACCTTTGAGATGCAGAATTCCAGGCTCAGAGCGTAACTGGACCCCCTGGGAGGAGAGGCTTCTCCCGGGGAACAAAGACTATGTTAAGAATATCAAAAGACCATCCACAAAAGACCTTCAACAGGATCCTAGCTCTCTCCATTGGCAGCCCACCACTCGAGCAACACCTGGGGGTGGGGGGCAACTTGGAAAATCATATATAAACCCGACAGAGGGGAATTCATGCATTTGCCTGCATCTCTGCCTGAATTGTGGACTTTTTTTAGGGGCCATCTGCCTGCATCTCTGCCTGGGATGTGGACTGACTGACTTTGGGGGCATCTTCCTGCATTGCTGCCTGAGATGTGGACTTGCTTTATAGTATGTATTCTCTGTACTGAGAGTTTGCTTCAGATCTGCTTGGCATGTGTTCTTTGCTTTTCCCCCTCTGCAGAGTCCTGTGTTCTCTCCTGAACATGTATCTCTCTCTCTCCCCTTCCCTTTCTCTAAGCCAGTTTCTTTAAATAAATGTATTTTGCATCACTCCTCATCTCCTGAAATACTTAAGCTGGGAGAGGAAGTGAAGGGATTTGGAGAGCCTTCCAGAACTTTGGACTGACTGATTTTTCTGCAGAGAGCAGTTCCTCACTCCAGCCTGAGTTTCATAATTCTCTGAAAATTGGGTTGGCTGAGGTAATTACCATGCTGGGCAGAACAGGTGTGACCTGGGTGCAGTTTGATGGCTGCCATACGGAGTTGGCAAGTTGTAGGGGGAGATGTAAGGGCTGCGTTGCGCAGTTGCTTTCCTAGGCCCTTCCCTAGGTGAGTTAAGTGGGTAGAGGGAGTCAGTGGACTTCCCTCTCGAGGCTGCCATCTCTCTTCTTCCCACCTAGCAGAAGCCACCAGCAACACAATTGGCAAACCAGCCAGGAGTAACAGCAAAGACATCTTCGAGAGAAGGGAGGTAATTCACTCCTGGAAAATGTGTTGGGAAACTGTAGATATGAACTTGAAGGTGTGGGAAATTTCACTCCCTGGGCCTGTGGACAGCACTGTTTTCCTTTTGATTCCCCTTGGTCGAGGAGGGGAATTAGGAATTTCTAAGGGAGGAATTGGGATGCTAATGAGGCCAGGACACTGGCAAAACCCAAATGGGATGGCTGCGGAGTCTAGTGAAAAGAAAGCCTGGCTACTGGCCTTTGAAAACTGTTTGTCTCCTGTCCTAGTGACAAAGTTCTTCCAAATCCAGAACTCTAAGCTCTGCTCCGCACTTTGTGGTGGTTATGCTCAGTGCCAGGTCCACCCCCTGCAGAGGTCATTGATGGAGATCACCAATCCAATAACTCCTATAATGTGTAGGGATCCTTCTCTGGAGCCTCTCTCAGGATACGGGGTTAGGTGCAGTGTGGGCTGTGTGGGCTATATGCAGGAATCAGGAGGGGGCGGTGGTCGAATAGTGGGTCTTGTGTGTGCCAGGTGTGCCCTCCAGTCCTTTAAGCCCTGGCCCATAGGAGACCATTTATCAGAATTTCACCTGCCTAGTGGTTGGAAATATTGTGTTTAGCTTTAAAAATACGTTATTTATTATTTACTTATTTTGGATTTTGGTCCATCAGTGCTCACAGGTCATTCCTGGCTCTGCAGTCAAGGATCACTCCTGGCGGGCTCAGGGACCATATGAGGTCAGCTGCCTGCAAGTCAAATACCTGCCTGTTACACTGTCTCTAGACTCTCTTTTAACTTTTGATTGTGTGTAAGATTGTCTCAGGATTGTCTCAGAAGCATCCTCTCCCTTCCTCCCGGCATTGCTGCTCCTTCAGTGTGCTTTCCCTCCACATAGTTGCTGCTGTGGCATAACTATGATACACCTGTGTATCTTCCTTACAAAAATCCGTTTGTTTATGCTTCATGTCTTTTTAGATCCTAACTGAAATTCGCAGTGAAAGTTAGGGAAGCCTTCCCAGCTGACTCTCTCTTAGATTTTAAATGCATCCATATGAGATGAGGGCAGTGAACTGGGGGAAAAATGTGGAATGCAGTAGTTTGTAGGTTCCATGCAGATTTGGTGGTATTATTATCTATGTGCCTGGTTCACTGTGGGACGCGCCACAGAAATGGATAAATTGATCTGTGTTACATTTCTTCTCCCCTTCCCCCCAAATTAGCTATTAATTCCACTTGGAGACAGTAGCAGAATAGCAGAATGTTACTAATGAGGTTTGAATTCAGATTGTTGTTTACTGTTGGTTATGTAACATGTTGCTCAGAGTATTATTAAAAGTTGCCTTCTGTAAAGCAAGGTAGAGAGGCAAGTAAATTCTGCTTACTTTCTTCACTGGGTTTTAATTCTTGGCTGAACCTGAAAACACATTAGATTATACTGGTAATTATACCTGGGCAGCCTGTTTCCTGTTTTCATCATGAACCCAAACATTATGATTTGCAGTGATGATTTTTATTTTGGTCTTTTGCATTAAAAAAGAGACATCTCTCCTTCCCCCCCTTTCTACCATAGATTTGTAACTTGGTCAAATCAAAGACAATGGCTTCCTAGGGTAGGCAATAGACTATTAAATAGTTTTTCATGCTTAGTAACAAATTGAAGTACTGTCTAAGACTATTTTTTACACATATTGTTTATGTTTTATGTAAATTTCAATATTACCAGTAGTTTGTAGTCTTTGAATTAGAGTCTTTTTCATTTATGACTATTAGTGTTTATTATTACCAGATGTTTATGTTAGTTTAGGCAGTAAGCCATACATATGGGTGAATTTTAAAGCTGACATGAGTACGTTTTAGGGCATAGTTATCTTTATTTCCCTCGTTTATCAGTCTTCTCTAGTTCTAAAGGGTCCGTGTCCCTTGTTTCTCATTTTTGTGCTTTATACTGACACAAAGAAGCCAAAGTAGTTGTATTTCTTTAAATGTTATAAGAGTATATCCTGTGGATTTGCTGGTCTGTTTATAAGATCAGAGGCATTGGGGCTTTCCCTTTAAAACAGATAGTAGTAGCAGCCTGAGTGGTTTTGTCTGCCAGCTGGGTATTGTGGGGAAAGTATGCCGGAGGCCTGGACTCAACCTGCCTGCACCCAGGTGAGGTCTCACCAGAACAAATGGTGAGTTGCCCTAAGGAGTCCACCCTGGTCTTTTTATTACGCCCCTCTCCCTTTAAAGTTAATACAGTATTAGTGTGTGAAATTCTTAGTGCTAGAATTATCCAAATAGTTCATTGTCAATTTCGAATTTGATGGATGTGTTTACAGAATGGAAGGGTAATATGAATTCTTTCAAAAAGATGTGTATAAAGCTAGGTTGTTGATCAGACCAGCTATTTTTCTGATTCTAACAGTTTTTATTGTTTTACAGCTTTGAAAAAATGGAGACTGTGGTGCCATTAGGTTTTTCAGGACAAGTTAGTGAGTTCTGATCTCTCTGTGTTGATGGTGTGTGTGTTTTTTTCCTTCCCTCCAGCAGCTCTGGCTGTGTTCTGTAGGGAGGTGGTAATGGTGATGTTTCCTCCTACTTTTACTTTATCCGAACTAGGCTTGATATTTTAGAAGAAAAAATTCTTTATTAGTTCTGTGTATGCAGTACTGTAATTGTAATCCACTTTTGGAAACTCGTTAAAGTATAGTTCTATAAACAGGTCTTACTCTTCATTGGCACACTGCTGCCTGCCCATGTTATAAATATAATGAGAGATTGCTGAATGCTTTTGAAATTTGAAAATAGTTTAATCTGAAATTGTAGCCGGACTTTTCCTTTTGATTTCCTTATGTGGTTTTGTGACTACCGAAAATAGTAAGAAAAGAAAACTAGTCTTCCTTTACCACTTTTCTTTGGGCATAGCAGCTGTAATCCTAGGAAGTTTTGAACTTTTATTTAACTGTGCTCTCAGAATATCACTGGTGCTTAAAAGGCAAGTTTCGTTTTGTTCAGTTTTGTTTTCATGATGTGTTAGGATCTGCCTATCCAGTAGACTATAACTTGAGATCTAGTTATTCTGGTTTGTGTGTGCCCAGGAAAGGGGGTACTGCAGAAATGTTTCCGAGATAGTCTTTTGTTTTCATTCCCTTTATTCATATCTTTCTCCCCCCTTAAATGAGTGACTACATCACTCACTGGCCATTTCCACTCTTTTGGGTTGAAAGTGTAAAACTAAATGAAGAACAACTGACCTGAAAAGGTTCCCTCCCCAGGTGCTCCCTTTCATGATGAGTAGAGGACTGAACC